GTTTCTTCCCTTCCCACAGCAATGTTTTCTGACTTTAAAAAGCCTCTTTCAATCTCTAGCAAATTACTAATATGTGACTTTTCCTCAGAAAACTTACTGGTTGCCTGTGCTGCTGTTAGCTCTCTCTCTTAATGCTGACTTTTTTCCAAAGGGATCTTGATGTACAGTAAAACAATTTGCATCAAAAGTAAAAAGGAACAGAAACCGCTAAAGAAAAAAAATCTCAAAATGAATCTAGAAATTGCAGGCCTTGACTCCAACATCATGGATTGCACCCAGACTTAATAGATCTGCTGCTTTGTAAAATCAACTTTATTTTACTTATTAGTGTAGTTAAGCTACAAGAGAGTAGCTACAAGAGACTTAAATTGGATATTAAGAAGAAATTATTCATTGTGAGGGTAGTGAGACATTAGAACAGGTTTTCCAGAGAAGTTACTGCTGCCCTGTCCTGGAAGAGTTCAAGACCAGGTTGCATTGGGCTTGGAACAACCTGGTCCAGTGGAAGGTGTCCCTGCCCATGGTGGGGGGATTTGGAACTAGGTGATGTTTTAGGTTCATTCCAACCCAAATAATTCTATGTTTAAAAAAAAAAGTATAAAAATCCACATTTTCAAAGCAGACATTCCTCCAAGTTCCTTGCTAGGGCTAGAAAAGAAGAAATCCAATTGGCAAATTTTGGGTTTTTTTAAATTTCATCCTGAAAATGAAAAAAAATCTGAAATCCTTCAGAAACTTTCCCAAGACCTGCATGAAAATAAGGAGAGTTCTCTAACCCAAAACAGCCCCTAGCACAGTGATAGGAATAGAAGTTAGGCAATTATAGTAAAAATCTAGATGTGAAAATCTTCCTAGTGGGGATCATGACACTGAATTTCCTCTACATGGGAATTTTGACCACAAATACTAACCAGGAATTTCCTTAACTAACCTGACACGTCTCCATGGAGAATTCTAATTTCAGCAAACTGGTCCTTCCAAACCAAAAATATCTTCCTGAATTTCAGACAGATTCATTCCATACACGTTGACTCAGAAGTCAAATTATTGTATGACATATTTTAGCAAATGCTTATTAAAGAAACCACTTCTCCACAAGTCAGACTGCCCCAGGTTAATTTAAAACATAATTATAAACTGATTTTTATTAAACTATTTCAAAGGTCTGACTGAATTTTTTCATGGCAGCTCAAACTAGATTTCCTCCTCCAGCTAATTCTACTGGGCAGGATGGGTGGAAATATCAATGTTGGGTTCATCCTCCGAATGATTCTGTTCGAAGAGAGACTTTTGAATCTGCTTTGAATTAATCTGATGTAGCCAGAAATTCTCCACTGAATTCAAGAAGATTTTAATTCTCTGTAGGTTGCCTTCCAATGTAAGGTGAAATGGAGGGGTTTTCATCAACAAGCCTCCTAGCAAAAGTCACTATGCATTCCCCAAATAAATATGTAGAAAAAGAGTCAGAGAAATTATAACATAAATGTTGACAACATAACAAAAAAAAAAGCAGAGGAAATATTTGTTATCCTTATTTATTTAATAAAGAAACATAATAAACTTGAATTTTTCCAGGTACAAACAGCTTAATGTGTCCTATGATATTGGCTGATATTTTCCTTGCTCTTTTTTTTAGCTTGAGTGGTTCATGTGGTAGCCTTTATTGAACAAATCAACAGAAAAAAAAAATGGTAGCACTCACCATGCTTATAGACAGTGTGGGCCAGCTATTGAGTTTGTGTCTTAAACTAAATCACTGCACTGGGAGGTTGTATCATGGCTCGATTTGGATCAGCATCTCCAGTAACAAAGATCTACAAGTGAGGTTATTTGACATTTTTGAGGGGAGTTCTTCATACCATACAAAGATACCATTCCCTCTTCATCCCTAAAGAAACACACCACAGAACAATAGAAAACCCAATAGAAAACCGACCTTCCAGTTACAAAGGTTTTTGAAAGCAATTTACAATTCAGTTTTAGAAAGTTGCACTGTAAACATCTAGAGTTAAGACCCTCTTTCAGATTTTTTTGCATTACTTTTTTTGTTTTAAATAGAGGTTTTGGGTAAAAGAACCATTTGTAATTGCATCAGTACTACAGGGTCTCACAGCAATGACACTCAAATGTTCAACTCAAGGGTGAAATGACCAAAGGAAGGGCTCTTCTCTAATAGAATCAGTGACCAGCTAATTGTCTCTTTACATTCCGTTCATTACTGGGCCTGACTCTTAATAAAAACAGCTGTTGAACATTTTCTAATATAAGTTGCAAATAACTAAAATATTTTTAAAGCAGCAGAACCAACAACTCACTTCTGAGTGCAGGCTGGCGTTTTCCTTGGGTTTCAGACAGTTTACATCATACATGAAAAAAAATCACATGAGAAATGCTCCTTTTTCCTTAGCATTTTTCCCTCTTTTTTTTTTTTTTTAATTCTAAAGCTTTGAAAGGAAAATAATTTTGCTACTTGTCAGCCAATAAATGCTTGTTCAGCAAGTAATGAATGTACTATTTTCTAATTAAACAGTTTCATTATAGGCAGCAGCTTGTTGCTAATGATCGATAAATCCCATTGAGGAGAAAACATTTTAATCAGTAAGTTGTGTCCTCCGAGTGTCAGCCACTCTATAAACTCACAAGATACATATATATGTATAGATATACGTATGTGTGTGTGTGTGTATATATATATATGCATATAAATATAAAAATCGCATACTCTTTCTGGGTGATATGTACAGTCAGAATAACATTACAGCATAAATACACAGGGAATATAAAGTTTCTCTAATTTGAGAAGCCTTGAGCAATTCTGAGTTTTTGGGGGAGGTGAGGAGTGGGGAGGGGGAAGGAATAAAGAATGTTTTTACTTCAAGGAACGACGAGTAGTCCCCTTAAGTTAGAATCTAATTACATACAAGATTTAAAGGCAACAAAATGCCCAGAGGAACAGCCCTATGTTATACACCATAGACATGGGGTTAAAAGGGCAAGAGAGCATGATTATAATAATACTTATATAGTATGGTTCATTCCCTTATAGCACTTTGCAATCAGAAAGTCTTACAACACCCCTGTGAGGTAGGTAAGTATTATTATTCCCATTTTACAGATGGGTAAACTGAGGCACAGATAGGTTAAATTATTTGCCTAAAAATCATGTAGTAAGAATCAGGAATAGACCCCAGGAATCCTGATGGCAAATCCTCTGAATTAACCGATAGACCACTCTCAAGTGAATGCCTGAGACACCTCTCAATGAATGGAGAGAATATATTAGCCCATATTTACACAGATACATTGTCATCCTTTTGACATGTTGTCGCACATATTCTGACTTGTTTAGAGGACAGATAACAATGGCCATAGATAAACTTGACTGTAACGTGTTGCTTTAATTCTTGTTGCCAACCCCATGTGGTTTTTTGACTCCTTCACAACCTGGGATGTAACTAAATGTTAATGACAATACACCTTAAATACATTCTTGATATCTTTGCTTCTCCAAGGCGAAAAAGCACAATTACTCTTCCTTTAAAGTGCAATGGCTCATTACAGAAATCTCAAGATTTTCCATGAAGTCCAACCAAACCCAAGTACAATCAGTCTGAAGGTGAAAAAGAAAGAACTTGTGTGTAATGATGGACATGTCTCTATATTCCATAAATAATTTCTCACATTCTATCGAGGCTGAAAGATAATAAATAATAACCTATGTTAGCACGTAAAACCTCTAATGCTTTTCTACAGCCACACATCCACCTTTCACCACATTGTCATTTCTTTGGCCTGAAGCTGAAGGACACATCAACTGTAAATATTACTTTGCCTACAGGAATGAGGATATAGATATTATCTAGTAGCTTTTTTTATCAGTTCCTGTATTTCTTGTCCTTCCCCAGAAATCTAACCGTACTATCTGAGAAAATGAAAGATGGACCTTGAGTAAAAAGGATTCAAACCCTCAAAATTTGTGTACAGATCCAGAGGTAATTCCCCTCCCACACTCTTAATCACACTGTCACAGCCGTTCCGCACGGCCCAGTTGGCATTGACTTATTACTGCTAGTAGTATTTGCAATTTATTTTTTTTTTTTAGAGTAATATTGATGCACAGAGTTCCAAATAAGGCTGCTTTGCTCAGTGTTCCTGGGGAAAATGTAACCTATCCCACTACCTTAACAGAAACTTTGCCAGCCTAGATGGTGCTTTGGATCACTACACACAAACATGATGCGCTACTTCTATGGCGAGTTTGATTGCGGATTTCAAAGCAGATTCTTGAAACATACTAAAAAATTAGTGCTTTTATTAACAGTTTTACAAACAGAATCCATTATTGTCTAGTTTCCTGAAGGATAGAACAAGCCATTTTTCTCATTACTTTGACATCATTTTCTTCTCTGTTTTTTGTTGTTTTCTTTTTGTGTGTGTGTGTTTCTGCTGATGTGCAGTTGCAAGTCCCAAGAGGGAGGGCTTAGTGTAATCAACAGTTTAAATGTTGCTAATTTGATACTTCAATTATCAACATCTTTCCTCTTCAAGTGATGGGGATCCCACAAGTTTCTATTACCTTGACTCAGAGTTCATCATGAAGAGTGTAAGGATCATTAATCTCCATGGAAAAAGAGACTTCATTTGTTTTTTAAGTAAAAAAATATCAAATATAATAAATTTATGAAAGACCATTCACAACATATACAGTAAGTGTTACATTTTGCTACAGCAGCTGTGATTTTTTTTTTCTTTTTAGAATGCAAGGTCATACATCGCCATAAGTAAACACACTAATATGAGTAAGACCTTAAATGAATGTATACAGCCAGGCTTTATCTGTGGATAGATATACACTGTGTTTACTGTTTTACAGTCTAGCCTATTCTTATTCACACCATTGATATAACAGCTGTGACCCTGCAGAGAATCTTCCTGTGCATATATAAATATAAATATTGAGCCAAGTCAAAAAGAGCAGGGTCAAATGTTATATGACTTATTAGACTCTTGTAGTTAAGGGTAAAAACTCCACTTTTTTTCTTTTGCAACTAATTTTTAATAAGAAGGCTGCTTCAATCGTTGTGTAGTTACAGCATTACATTCTGTAAACAATGTTTTAAAGCATTCTAAACAAACACTTAAACAATTGATTCCTTATCCTTGTCGGGTGAGAGAAGACAATCTATAGCCTCATCGCTTTTGCTCACGTCCGTGATCTTCAGCTGGAGGTTTTCACTCGTGCCTCGGGTGACGCTGTCGTAGGACGGAGGGAAGGAGGTGGAGGACAGAGTTTCTGATTTGTCTATGGGCCTGCCGTAGTTTTCGTTCATCATGAACGCAATGAGACCCTCCTTCTCGGGCGCATCGTCCTCCAGGATGCTGCTGCTCTCCAAAGTTCTGTGCCGGTACAGGTAGGATGCCTGCTTCATGGAGCGCCGGAACAAGTGTCTCCTGTAGGCCCTCTGGATGACGATGGCGGAGACCTCTTCTTGTTTCCGCCTGAGCGTCGTTGTTATCGGCTCGTAGGAGATCTTGGAGGGGTTGGCTGCCATGAACTTCTCTTCCATCTGTATTTTAAGGGCATCCATCTCCCCGGATTCTCCTAGCACCCTTTTTGTAAAAGCAAACAAAATATCCAAGCAATGGATCCTGTCTCCGCTGACCATGGGCAGGTCCATCGCTATGAGTTTGATTTTGTTGGGTTTCGCTATGCGCAAAGGTTCTGACAGCGCGTCTGCAAAGTCTGAAAGTGCAGAATACTCAATAAACTGAGTGGCTTCGGGGTCAAACTTCTCCCAGATTTCATAGAACATATCAAAATCATCCTCGCTTAGAGGCTCTGTACTTTCCTCAGTGGCTACACTGAAGTTCTCTAAAATAATGGCTATATACATGTTTACAACAATGAGAAATGATATAATGATATATGTGACAAAGAATAAAATCCCTACAGCGGGGCTCCCGCAGTCTCCCTTTGAGCCATTTGCATTGGGAAGGTTTGGGTCACAATACGGTGGTCCAGTGTTTAAGATGGGGTTGAGAAGACCATCCCAGCCAGCTGACGTGGTGATTTGGAAGAGACAGAGCATGCTGTTAGCAAAGGTTTGGAAGTTGAACATGTCATCAATCCCATACTCCTTCTTCACATAGGCAAAGTTAGCCATGCCAAAAATGGCATAAATGAACATGACCAGGAACAGCAAGAGGCCAATGTTGAACAGAGCAGGAAGGGACATCATTAAGGCAAACAGGAGAGTTCGAATTCCTTTGGCTCCCCGGATGAGTCGCAGGATCCGGCCAATCCGAGCCAAACGAATGACTCTGAAGAGTGTGGGAGAGAAGAAATATTTCTGGATGATGTCAGAAAGTACGGTGCCTTGAAAAGAAGAGAGACAGACAGCAAGTTAGTACATGGGAAATAATCCCAGGCTTTCCTTTTAAAGCAATCAGTCAGGATTATTGAGAAAATAAATGGAAAGTTGCCCAGAGTGGAAGGCTCACAATGAAGGGAAAGGCATTGCTGCTTTTTCATGCCCATTTAATCCATAAGAACTTGTGAGGCTGTAAGCAAAGAATGGTAGTGGCAGTTTTATTCAGGGAAAGCTTTTCTGTTGGTAATGAGAAACCAAGATCAAGTCAAGACACAGATAACTGCAGCTTTTTGACCGTGACCCACCTAAGAAATTTGTCTTGAGTGCAGATGTCAGAATTTTTCTGATATGGCAACATTTTTGTCCGTAAAATAATGAGTCAGAAATGCTGGTGTGCTTGGTCTGTTTTATTTGGGCTACCACCAGAACAGTGCAGGTTTTTACTGTGTATCCACTTGGTTGGTTGTTTGCTTATAAATTTTTCCAGTTTCCCTGATGGGCTGGGAGGGAACTAAGGGCTAAGGCTGTGCTAGCAAGGAAACGAGCTTGCACCCCTGTATTAAACTCTTCCTGCAGGAGCAGAGCTCTTGGTCCAGAATGTCTGAAGTCCCTGGCTGCACTGAGCCCTGCTGAGCTCCTGTCTCCCACAGGAAAAGGGCTCACTGGCATGGCCCAAGGCCTCTGACACTGAAATAGGCTGGCTGGTCATGGGACAGCACTGTGAGCAGCATGACAGCTCTGGTTCACTGTGTGCTATGGGCATATCCAGAGCTTCTGACATCAAGGTTCTGGTGACAGCTGTGTGGCAGTGACGTTCCCTGGGTGACCCAAACCTGTGATATCCAGGCTGTTCAATGCCTCCAAAGCACAGGTGGGTGTCTCAGCACCAGAGATCTGCCCTGGGATCTTGCAGCTTCCCCAGTCCCCACTAAGGGTGTTCAGAGCAGCAGGAGCATCAGCGGATGTTTTCCTAACACAACACTTTTTCATTCACCTATTCCCTCCCTCAAAATGGAAACTTATTTTCCAGAAGAATTGAATTTCTGAGCTCCTTTTGCTCACTGGATCAGTTGATTGCCTTCCAGTTGCTGCTACTTCCAACTTTAGTGAAAACTCTTTTGGTAGGATTTTGGATTCATTTGACCTGCACTTCTTTAGCAACTAAATACATCTCCAGAACAGCAAATGGCACAAGTTAACAATAAAACTGCTTCCTTCTGTTTCATCCCTTGGATGTATCATGGTGCAGAGCTTTAGCAACAAGGCTGAGAAAAGTCAGATGCCGAAACCTGCCCTGAAGGACTATTTCAAACTTTTGTAATAAAAAAATATAGCAAAGCAGTAGCAATCCACATGTGCCAATTTCATGTGGCTTTTTTATTTCTCTGTCATTAGCTCTTATGCAGAACTGTCGTTAAGTGTATGTGGTGACCAGTTCATGTTTTATCACCATGAATCATCAAGTGTAGAGTTTGATAAACCTCCTAATTTTGTTGCTCAAACTAGTCTCTATTAGGCAGTGGTATGCTAGATATAATTACATATTAAAACTGTGTTTAGGACTCAATTCTCTGAGTTGAAAGCATATATTATTGCACAAAATTAATTTTGCCAATTAATTTTACGTCTGCCTTTCTAACCTTGGAGTCTGGGTGAAAATCCAGGGTCACCTACCTACGATGGACAGAATCACAACCACAAAGTCAAAGATGTTCCAGCCGTTGGTGAAGTAGTAGTGCCGCAGAGCCAGCATTTTGAAGATGCACTCCCCAGTGAAGATGGCAACAAAAAGCATGTTGATTTTGTGGAGGATGTTCACTTTTTCTTGACTTTGGTCATCTGTTTCCACCATCATGGTAACCATGTTAAGGCAGATGAGAATCATGATGGAGACATCGAAGGCTTGTTTTGAGACGACATCGAAAATAAAACCTTGGTATTTGTTCTGGGGGAAAGGAAAAGGTTTAGTTGGGAAATTTGAGCCATGTGAAAATGATGTAATTGTCTCCTGATTGATCAGAAAGTAGAGGAAAACAGAGATTATATTGCATCTGATTGGAACTTCATAAACTTAAAAGTGATGATGAATATTTTTTTGATGGAGTTTTCAAACCCATTTGCTCCTAATGCTTTTTGAAGCTGCTGTAAACAAGACACTGGACTGTGGCCACGAATTTATTCAGTGCAGGCAGGTGGCCACTGGCATATGTAAATGGCACATGTAAATTGCAATGTTAGTCAATGCTGCAGAAGAGGGAATTTTGTACCACAGGTCACTGGACTTGTAAATATCATCCAAAATCAAAACATATAATTATTAAGTGCCTTTCATCTAGGAGCAATAAATCTTCCTATGCTGGAGAGTGGTGCTAATTCTAGTAAATAAACATTCAACTATTACACAAAGTTCAACTGAATTATGCTGTTCTTACCAGCGGCCTTGGGATTGGCTTTTGAGGTTTCTTAGATCCCAGCTTTTTCATTGCATTATAATATTTTTTCTGTTCTTCTGTCATGAAGATGTCCTGGCCACCTAAGTATAGGGTGAGAACAACACCATTACTTTTGATGAAGAGAGCTTGCCTCTGTCCCCTTCCAAAGATGAATCCTCTCCTATTTAATTTCCTTTTAATGTAGCTTTCATCAGATTGGGCTGCTCAGAGGGACAGTGGTGTTGGTGCACAGAGGACACCAGGCCAGTCTATGCTCCTGTGTCAGATTTTGTGCCAGAGATCCCCTCCCCCTGAGCTGCTTTGCTGCAATTTGTGGGGAATAGAATCCCCCACCCCATATTTTCAGGATGCTCATGCTCTAGGGACACCAGGGACTGCTATATCTGTGCCTCTGTAGAAGTCCTGAAGGTGATTTCTGCAGATGCTCCGCCGATCTCAAGGCTGCTGTGGCAAAGCCATTGCTGACAAATCTGCAGTCACAGGATGATGTGTAGCATATGCACTACTTATCTTTTTCTTTTGTTGGTTAAAATTGTCAATGATGACACCAATGAAGAGGTTCAGTGTGAAGAAAGAGCCGAAGATGATGAAAATCACAAAGTAAAGGTACATGTACAAATTGCATTCCCACTCAGGCTGCTCCTCGCACTGCAAAGGGAAAAGGGAGAGTGTGAAAATGACACCAACCTCTGCACACATCAAAATGTTGATGCAGTCAGAACAAAGCTGTCCATTGGAAATAAAATTTATGAAAAATTAGAAAAATACTGTAACTCCTGTGAGCAGTCAGCTCTCCTCTGAAGTTTATCACTGGTATCTGCAATGCCACAATCATTTCAGCAACACTTCACAACACTGTCACAACAATCACACTGATCCAGAAAGTGCAACTCCAGAATAAATCCTACCAAATGTTCTCAATCTGAACACAGGAGAGGAAAAGAATCCATTTTCTGATTATCCTAATGCCTGCATGAACTAATGGTACTTACAATAAAACAGAAGTATAATTGCAGTATAATTGAATCCTAATGAAAAACACCGCATTTTTAAGTGCTTTTTCTTTTTTTTTTTTCTTTTTTTTTTTTTTTTTTTTTTTTAGTGAGGGGTGGAATAGAATAAGGTCTGTTGCTGAAGAAGTGAGAAAGAGGTGACTTGAGTCTGGTTACCTCAAATCACCTCTGCCATGTTTGATGATTTGCCCCTTCAGTGCTCAGATTTGCCCCATCAGCTCCTGGTATCTAAACAAGGTGCATTCCCTAAATGCCATATTTTCTTGTGGGTAATCCATGAGTTTCATTCAGCAGCAGGGAGGATACCTGTGTACATGTACCAGAATAAATCACACCATGAGCTATGTTATTCAAAGATAGTTCTCTGCTCCTGTGGTGCCATGAAGTTTTTCCACCCCTTATTCCTCCCCTTAGGCCTCAACTTTTGCCCTAAATTCAGCCTGTCAAATTCCTAGTACCAGACAGCTGCCTCAAAACTTAACAGTTGGTGCAAACTTGTTCCTCTAAAACAATTAAAAGAAGGAAAGAAAACTGTAGCTCTTTCAATAAAAAGATAAACAAACCACACATGGTGTAGCAAGGCAAATGCTTTTTATGTTTGTTTGCTTTTATGGAAACCTGAAAGCTGACCAGGATGCGGGTGGGAACTGAGCTGTCACCAGTCCCCAGCACATCCCATCAGAGCTGGAAGCTCACACCACCCTCTCTGTCTGCCAGGAGCTCCTCCACACTCCTCCAGAGGAGCTGCTGGCTGCAGAAAAGACTCTTGCTCAAAGTGAAGGTGTAGGAAGGGTTAAACATTTGTCTCACAGGCAATTCAACCTAAACCCAGCACTTTTAAAGCCATGTTATCAACAGAAGTTGGAAAATAAGGCAATAAACAGGGAGAGGGGAGAGCAATTTAGGTCTTTGATGGACTCAGACTAATTCTTGAGGTGCCTCTGTGTGCTGGGAGTTGTGCAGCAGGAATAGATAAATCAGTTTTGTAGGAGTAAGGGCCACATTTACTTTAATTTCAGGGTCATCATGCTCCAGTACAAACAATGAGGGTCTGCAGTGTCCCAGCCAGAGTAAGACAGGGACGGGCACCCTGCATGTATTTAATTTTGTTGTGTTTGTTGTTAAGCACCATCAGTGCTGCAAAAGGCAATGGAACAGGAAATTATTAATTTCCTTGCAGAGACTTACCTCTCTTGAATCCACTGCTGCATACATAATATCCATCCAGCCTTTAAATGTGGCCTGAAAAAAAAAAATCCCCACATAAGACATAAGCATATGAAACAAGTACACCCTGAAATGATATAATCTCCATGATGAACCTTCAAAGTGCAATGTTGAGCATGTACTTCACAATTAATACATTGCCTGCCTTGCAATCTAACGTGTGTCCTTGACTTTATGCTCATTTAGATATTTAAATTAATTCCAGCACGGTTTTCTCCTGGATTTTCCCATTTCTGTTTCTTGACTTTCTGCACTTGCAGGGATAAAAGAGAGGTTTTTAGAAGAGATTTTAAGAAGGAAAGAAAACATAACAATTAAATCTTTGGAAATTCTGACCTGAAAACTTTCAAGCAATGAAGAGATATGGCTACACATAACGTTAAAGAATGTTGCCTTGCACAAGCCTTGCACAGGTGAGATGGATCCCATCCACATCCTGCTTGGATTCTGCCCTCTCCTAAACCAGGGCAAATCACAACAATATTAAACCCCAGGGAGTTGCATAAATCACAGCTGACTTGAAAGAGGCAAAGGCAATCAACACCTGCTGTGAGCCTGGCCCTGGAAAATCAATCTGCTTTACTGTTCAGATTTTCTTTTTATTAAGCTTCATGAAGTCAGTAGTTTTAATATTTTTTCTTTTTAATAATTGTTTAAAGAAGAAAAGATTCCACAGAAGTCAGTGTCTCTTATTGGAATGTTCAATGCAGTGACAGCACTCCTAGGAGGAACACAGGGAAATGACTTTTTACTATTCTGTAGCAAACCCACGACTCTTTGATCCCAATATTTGCCTCTTATTAGGCACAGGCATTAGTTCTGGCTCTGGCCTAAGCCCCACTGCCTTTATTTGGGCTCTCCAGAGTTGTTTTCATTTGACTTCTATTTAGACCTACCCTGACCTGAGTCAGATTGAGCAGATAATGAGGCATTTTTAGATTTATTAATTTCATCAGATTTACCTTGTCATGCATGCAAGACCCACACCCAATATTTCTTTACATCCTACTGACACTTAAATTGAATTTTGCCCTATTGGGTAGGCATAGAATTCCAGAAAGTTCCAGCAGGAATTTGGCCAGAGGTTACCAAGAGAAACTCAGGCAGATGGGCTGAGGTGAGCACATTCAGTGGCTTTAGAATTCTCTATTATTATATTAAATAAACTCTCTATTATTATATTAAATAAACTCTATTATTATATTAAATCCTGGTGGTAATGCTGCTTTCCCAATTCCTTCTGAATGCTACTGAGCCAAAGGAAAAAGTACAAGAGATCAATGATATTTCTCACAAAAGTATACATAAAATAGTGTTTGAAAGGTTGCACCTACTCTTACCTACTGCCTGAAAGAGATTAACCCACTCACCCAAATCAGAACCCTTTGGAAAATCTCTTCCATGGTGCTGAGTGTTAAAAATCAGTTTAGGTGAAGTATCTACAGGAACAATCAGCATTTTTATCAAAACAAAAAATTATTTGAACCTGTCATGCTGATACTCCCTGAATACCCTAATATTTTCCTTTTTTGCCATTCTCTTTCTAATCTGATGAAAGACTTTCTGCTGCCATCAGAGCTTTCAGCTCCAAGTGCTGCTCAGGAAGGGTGGCTGGGATGAAACATGAAATCCTTTCCCTGTGGCACAAAGTGATTGGATCTTAGCCTGTGCTTTCCTCCCACTTGGGAGGAAATCTTTTCTCTTGAGCAGCTATTTTACCCCTCAGTGTGTACCACAGACTCCAGCAACTCTCCTGCAAAGCACAGGGGTTTGTAGTAAAAAAGGATGATGAAGTGATCTGACAAAAATAAATATTAAGAGAATGAAGTGCTGTGATTTTCTGTTTTCCCACAGTTGTCGAGAAGCAAGAGAATTAAAAATCTGTGGGACATCTGGAAAGCTTCCCTGGACACTTCACCTGCAGAGGCTAAAAGATACCGAGAATGAAAGAAATATAACACTGGGAAAAGAAATTATTTATCTGGAATTAGTAACCACTTACACTCTGGATAAGGAAGTGACAAAATCTGCGTTTGAGTGTTTGTGATATTATCCTGCCTGGAAGCTGTCCAGAGAAGCACCATTTTCTACTGAAACTGTCATGTGATGAGATTATCTGCTGATAAACTCATCCTGGGATGGGATTACATTTCGTTATTTCACTGCTGGTTAGAGCTGCAATGCAGCAAATTAGTGGGGAGGGGAAAGGTGGGATGGCTCTGGCTGCCCCAAACCAAATGGTGCCTTGCAGTAAAGCAAGTCTTGAAATCTGTAAGCTTTTGGAATTTACTCCTCCTTTTTCTTTTTCTTTTTTCTTTTTCTTTTTTCTTTCTTTTTCTTTTTCTTTTTCTTTTTCTTTTTCTTTTTCTTTTTCTTTTTCTCTCTTTTTCTTTTCCTTTTTCTTTGTCTCTTTTTCTATTTCTTTGTCTCTTTTACTTTGTCTCTTTTTCTTTGTCTCTTTTTCTTTTTCTTTTTCTTTTTCTTTTTCTTTCTCTTTTCCTTTTTCTTTTTCTTTTCTTTCTGCTTCTTCTTTTTCTTCTTCTTCTTTTTCTTTCTTCTTTCTATTTTTCTTTCTCTTTCTTTATTTTTCTTTTTCATTTTTTTCTTTCTCTTTCTTTTTCTCTTTCTTATTTTTTTTCCCCCCAGGAAAGGAAATTGTTCAATAAAAATGTCTGCTTTTCATGGCAGAAACACTGGCCTTCACATTGCTGAAATGTTTCTTTGGGCATTACTGTAGATGAGAGAAATTTCTGAAAGCTAAGCCAGAGATTCTTTTGCACATTCTGCACCCACAGTGACAGTAAAATCAGGCATTGCAGTCCACAGAAGTGCAAGAGATGGTGTAATGCAGTAACTTTAGACACACAACTCTGCCTCATGACCATTTTGTGTCTGATTTATGGGCTCACTCAGGACTTCAAACCTGGCATGAGGGATTGCTTTCACTCTGCTGCTCCTGCTTGCTGTGCTGGTCTGGAAGTGCTTTAATCTCCCCACTCCTCATCTGGAGTCCCAAAGTGACAGAGTTTATGGGACAAATTCAAATTTGAGTAGGTTATAGTTAATCTAAGTCCATTCTGTCTAAGAAGAACTTTTCCAAACAAGCCAGATGCTGCATGAAAGACCACTTATTTCCTGGGTATTCTTCAATAGATGGCTGAAATTTCAAAATACATTGCAAAAAAAAATATGCAGAGGTGATCACAGGGTGGAAGTGTGGGATTATGCAAGGAAAATGCAAAAATGCTACTGGAAATTTAAGACATTTCTTTGATCAGTTCAAATACAGATTTATAGAACACAGGTGCTGTGATACTTTAAGGAAATTTGGGATACAGAGAAACTGTTCCTGAAGCACTGGGTTGTAGCAAGACCTTTTTTCCTGTTAGAGTTTTGGGAGTGTTAAATTACCAGGAAAGTGAATCATCCTTCTTTCAAGTCAAAAAGCTGTGATGACAAAGATCTTTCCCTCCCCATGAATGAAGCATTCCTCTTGCTTGCAGACTGAGCAGAGCAGTTACCTCTGTTATTTTATTAACCTGGTTTGGGACTGCCTGCTTTTAGTTGGAAGAGCTTGACACTTTGCATTTCTGACTCATTAACTCAAAGTGGGACCTTCAGGAGAGCACAATTGTGACGGTGTTCACAGGGGTCTGAAGATGAGGGAAGAGACAAGGATCTGACTCCATGTTTCAGAAGGCTGATTTATTATTTTATGATATATATTACATTAAAACTATACTAAAAGAACAGAAGAAAGAATTTCATCAGAAGGCTAGCTAAGAAAATAATAAGAAGGAATGATAACAAAGGCTTGTTTCTAATTAATGGCCAATCACAGCTGACTGTGACTGGCCATTAATTAGAAACAACCACATGAGACCAATCACAGATGCACCTGTTGCATTCCACAGCAGCAGATAATCAATGTTTACATTTTGTTCCTGAGGCCTCTCATCTTCTCAGGAGGAAAAATCCTAAGGAAAGGATTTTTCATAAAAGATATCTGCGACACACAATAGATCCCAATCAAGGCAGGGAAAGAGCAGAAGATACTTGGGGCAAATTTCATGCAGAAAACTTTCCTCTGGGTAGACTCATGTCCTAAAATTTCCACAGTATCAACTTTAATTTCTTTCAAATACTCTACTGAAGAAGACAGAACATCAAGCAGATGTGTTTTACCCATTTCCATTTAGATTTGCAGGCATTACAAAGGAACTTCAGAGCCACTCAGATCCGTGCTGTGGCAGTTGAAAATGTCAGCAGCCAAAAGACAAATCGCACTTGAACACTCACGTTTGGGACCCTGGCAGGTTGTAACCCAAAAATGCTGATCTCCTCCTTGCTCTGCCGTGCACAGGGATGCACAGAGGTGTGTCACAGATATCTTTTATGAAAAATCCTTTCCTGAGGATTTTTCCTCCTAGAAGCTGAGAAACCTCAGGAACAAAATGTAAACAATGATTATCTGCTGCTGTGGAATGCAACAGGTGCATCTGTGATTGGTCTCATAGAGTTGTTTCTAATTAATGGCCAATCACAGTCAGCTGGCTCAGACAGAGAGCCAAGCCACAAACCTTTGTTATCATTCCTTCTTTTTCTATTCTTAGCCAGCCTTCTGATGAAATCCTTTCTTCTATTCTTTTAGTATAGTTTTAATGTAATATATATCATAAAACAATAAATCAGCCTTCTGAAACATGGAGTCAGATCCTCGTCTCTTCCCTCATCCTCAGACCCCTGTGAACAGCATCACAGAGGTGTCTGACTCTCCAGGAGAGCTGGGCTGTCAACTGAGCCCCTGAAATGTGTACATTCCCCATGAAATGTGACCCTTTATGGGGAATATTTGGCAAGGGGCACCTGTCACAGACACTCCTGGCAAAGGAGATCCAGATGTTTGGGCCTCTTCTCTGTGTGTGTCCCCTTTTCACTTTACTGCCTGCGGTCAGCAGCAGACATAAGAGCTCCAGGTGCAGGATTAAAGCCAAAATCAATCCCCTAATGGAAACTGGCTCCTACTCTTCCTCTGTGAAGAAGGAGCTGCCACTTGTCATAGAAATCCTACCTGATTTCCTGCTAAAACCAGTTTGTTCAGCCTGACCAGGCCTAGGTTTATAAGACTTATTTTGCAACTAAAAGATCTATTTCTCTCCTGCCAAATACAGAAACACAGGTTTGAAAGAAGCCATTTTCCCATTTTCAACTGCAAAAGAGCAGTATTAGCCCATTCCCTTCAAATGTGTGCTGAGATCCACCTTACAACCAGTTATGTTTCTTCTGCCACCACTGATTCCAACAGATGTAACTACTTCAGGATATTCCTTAGGAAATGCCAACTTATGAACACCTAAAGATTTTCAGAAAACTGGAGCTTGATTCTTATAAAAGACATTGTGAAGGAATAGCTATCTCTCTGATGGAGGTTTCCCCCCCCCCCAAAAAAGTAGGCAATTGTTATGTAATCAGAGGAACTAAGAAACTTCAGGTAAGGCACAATATTTTAAACCTGGAAATTCTTGCTCATCTACATTGGATGTTTAAATGAAAGACAAAGAAAACACTATTTGGAACAGAAAATCTAATTAAAGGCCTTCAAAGTCAAATAATCTACCCTGCATGGCTGAGCAGAATATCATAATTACGCGCAACAGATAAAAGCTCTCACTCTCAGCAAGTTTGTGTCATGGAAAGAATCAAAAGTGGTTGTGCCCATTTCAAAGTTTCTGCTTTCCAGAGGATGTGAAAGAGAAACTCAATGGACACTGATCAGAAGATCTCAAACTCAAGTGTTTGTGCACCAGGAACGGCACACGTAAGAACAAGGATTTCTACCAGAAAGGAAAATTGCTTCATGGAGCTGTTCCATGCATCTGTGACAGAGAAAACCAGATCTGGGAAAAACAAACTCAATTCCTGGGAAGGAGAAGGGCTGGCAGGTCTGATGGGGACCTGTGGGAGGCTCATGCCCCTTTGGAAGGGCAGGAGGGGGCTGAAGGCAGCACCCTGCTGCATTGTAAAGGGTGAATTCCATAGGTGACAAATGAATTGAGCTCCCAGAACACAATTTTTTATCCCTGAATTGAGGGATGCCGTCACAGATGTTTCAAGACATAAACCTCCCTGCCTAAAGAGGTAGCAAGGAGCTTATTTAACTCTGCATGCAAAAATTGCGATGAGCAAACACTCCAAGTGCACATCCAGCCCCTGCCATCATTTGGCTCCAGATTAGGAACAATGGAAATAAGCATCATAACCACTACTTTATGTGAGGGCCCTGTGGAATTGAAACATAAAACAATTTGTCTGAAATCACCCAGCAGTCCAGCAGCAGGGCCTGGACAAGGTGAAGTCTTCTGTGATTTTTTCTGTTAGGTTGTGCTGTGTCAAAACACTGTGAATCTCAGTGCATTTATCTATATTTTACATTTGATGGTGGGAAAGGTTGTAGAAGTGGCTTCCTTCTGCCTTTACAGCTCAAACATTGGCATCATCTCTGAACCTCAGCAGTCTCTTTTCTGCTATGCTCCTGCCACCTTCCCTGAGAGGCTGGGCTGGGGGTGGTGTCAGCAACCTGATCCCCACCATGACCCACAGTTAAATTCAATCTGAGTCATTATTTTAGCAGGTGGACACAAGGTGAGGAACCAGAAATGAGAGGCACCAGTGTCTTTCTCAAAAATGGAAAGTGAGCAGAGGGACATAAATTAAGACTACAGCTTCATGCAGTAACTTCAGCTGGGAAACTGAAGGCACTAGAAATTCATTTTTTCCCCAGCAGGATGTAGTGAAATCCCAGGCTGTTCAGGAGGGCCAGTGCACTCTGTATGCATGGACAGTTCTTCCTCTATCATAGATTTCTTTTCTGGAAGTGAACTTTTCTCTGGATTACAATATTGACAAAATGATCTTTAATTCACCTCAACAGTCCAATCACCTCCCAGAGAACTGTAATAGTGACACAGCAGCAGAAACTCCAATTAAAACCATAAACTGCCATAATATCTCTAGGCCAAGTTAATATCAAAATATTATTTGTTTAAACTTGATAAAAGTTATTGTCCTGAGAAACCCAGAAAAGCCCAGAGGTTAACCTGAGCTTTTGAGGTGATGTTTTCAGTGAGAACCAGCAATATCCACCCATGAGTTTCTGGGGGTCACACTTACCACTTGCAGCAGAGCCAGGTACCCAGCACCAACATTATCAAAGTTAACTTTAACTTTTGTCCAGTAAAACGTGCCCGACACGTTGTAAAGGATGCAGTCACTCATGTTGTTAATAATTTTAGAGTCCAAAGGCATATCTCCTTCTGTCTTATTAATGCACTTCCCAAACTTCCCAGCAAAGAGGTTCACTCCCATGATGCTGAAGATGAGCCAGAAGATGAGGCAGACGAGCAGAACATTCATGATGGAGGGGATGGCCCCCACAAGGGCGTTGACCACCACCTAGGGTGAAACAGGAAAGGGAAAACAGAATTAATGTCAGCATTTGTATGGACACATTATTAACAATCTGCTGTGCACCCTTGATTAATGAGTCTGAACCCTCATATGGTGACAGGTGGATAAGCACTGACACTGCCTAAGGAGCCAGACCACCTCTAAAGGATTCAAAAATCACTACTTTTCTCCTTTTGGTAATCAAAGAAAGAATCTGTTGGCATCCCACCCAAGGGTTGATGCTTTTTCAAGAGGAATCTCTGAATTCAGAAGTCATCTTGACCTCTCAGATCTTTCTGGATAGTGCACTTCAGTCAAACTAAAATAATAATGTGATTAATTGGAAACGGCTGGGGTGCTCTACAGTGACTCAAAATAGAGAAAAAAAACCGATTTCTGAAATCTTTGAATCCACTCAGGCCTCTGTAGCCAGTGGGTTGTGAACTATGGCTGTGATAAATTTTGCTTAATTAAATAACAGATTGAGACATGCTGTACTAAGCCAGCTTCCCCTATCTGATCAGTATGCATGATTAAATGAGCAAAATCATTCTAATTTAACAAATTTTTTTTTTTTCCTGTGTCATGCTGTAAAATTCCTGCACATTAACCCAGGCAGGGCTGTAAACCCCTGCATAAAATCATACATGAAAACAAAAAGCAGAAGGAGCTTTTAATGTGTGTGAATGATGGCACTGAAAATGGACACCATAGTGAAGTCAAGCAAAAAAAAACCCCAAAGTTCAGACCATCTAGAAACCTTCCACAGCTGCCAGGTTTGAATGCAGTGCTGTGCACATCACCCAGGCAAGGTGCACATCATGTGCTGTTCTGAGCACTGCTGGGGTTTAAGGGGGTTTAGGCATCTGTGCACATCAAACCTTACACTGGAGAATCAGAGAAGATCACTAAAGAAGAATCCATCACAGAATATCCTGAGCTGAAAAGGTCTCAGTTCCCAATCCTGCACAGGACATTCCAACAGTCACACCATGCATGACATTTTCTGAGGGAAGGACTCTATCACAAAATGCAGTTTTTCCCTTTCCTATTTCCATGGAGAACATGTTTCTCCATGCTCACAGCCTTTGGAGATGCTGCCTTTGCGTGGTCCAGGCAATGCTGCCTCCCAGATGGCTGCAGACCAGCCCCACAACAAGAATTTCTCTCCATCCCTGTCTCATGCTTCGGAGATTAAAATCTGATAGGAGGGCACTCAGCTCTTCCTCTTCTCCATCCACATTTCTGAAACTGAGACAAGGTGATATTGATCCATAAAAAATAAACTTTATTCAACTGGTGAATGTGATTATGGGAAATGTCAGCTCTTCTTTTCTCTTGTGTTAGTGTCCAATTTTCTGACAAGCTAATAACATAACATTCCCTTCTCCATCATTTTTGCATTGCTGTGGAAGAAAAATACCCAGAGGAGTGAAATGGTTTTCATGCATGTATAGCAGCAGCTTCCTCTCCAGCACACAATACAAAATTATGTAGATCTTCTAAAACTCAGATTTATATTTTGTGCATTTATGAATGAAGCTGATTTTCACACAGGAAAAGCTGTTTGACCAATTGTTTTGTTTTGTTTTTCTGTATAGGCCCATTCCTGATGACTTTTCTTGGGATTTTTTTTGTTTGTTTGCTAATTTTATCTTTCAGTTTTGGATGTCAGTCAATTTCTAACCTCATCATTTTTAGACCAAATTTACCGTGTTAACCAAAATGCCAAATAATTTCCAAATCAAGGGCTTGTTTGAATATAGCCTTGGCTCTTGTCAAAGAAGTTTTCATTTGCTTCTCTGCACAGCAATATTTTTCTTCAGTTTTAACCCATGCCAGCAAAAACCACATGCATTTGTAAAGCCAGGTTTCAGCAGTCCAAGTGATGGCCATGCCCACATCCTGCTTTTTCCCTTCTGCTGAGTTATGTTCAATGGCCTGTAGATAACAAAACAAGGCACGAGGCTGGAGCAAATCCTGCAGCACCTCTCTGAATGAATTATTAACAGGGAGGGTTCATTCTTCCCTCACTGCTTCTGCTCTTGCACCAGGGTGATGCCATTTGTTCTGGTGGAAGCATTCTTGTTTTGCACTGAGACAAGTAAGAGGGAGACCTGGATACATAAAGGCAGGTCACTATCATAAACTCATATTAAAAGTTGCACATCTTGCCATGGAAAAGGAGGAATTTCTGCTGCACTCTGGAACAGCAGCACATATATCCATGTGTAAGAAAAGGCTTCATACTTGTTGGTTTCTATCAGTACCTTTTACACCTTCCAGGTGACTTCTTTAGGGACACCTAGAAACTGAGCCACCCTCTGCCCTAGCTCACAGTGATGCAATCTACAACCTGAGTCTGGCCCCCAGCTCCCCTGGTTTCACAGGGCACCTCCTCAACCAAAGCTGATTCAGATTTTTAATCCAGAAATAGACTTGCATGATGAGTTAATCCTCCCTTTGCTCTGATAGACTCCCCCCAGTGATTTCAGGCCCAGACTATAACTCCCAGTGAAGCTCAGTCACAGCTTTTGCAAAGACATCTAATTTTCCATGTCATGATGTTAAATAATGGAGGAAAAAAATGTATTATTAGATAATCTGTTCCTGGTGCCTTTTGTCCTCAGTTTTAGAAACGGTTGCTGCATTTTTGGGTGGAATTGTTGAACTTGAGGCACCTGCTCTTAGATGTCTTCTCCTATCATTCCCATCTTCACTGGGGGGTGTTACCATTGCACATTGCTCCGGGTAATTAAAAGAATCAGAACTTCCTTGTAGCTATCATGTTCCTTTCAGATTTTTAATCACACTCGTATTTCCCTGCAGAGACTTTCCCATTTTTAATTCCCCCTTTCCAGCACTTTCATGGAATTCCAGTGTTGAAGCACTGCACTGTCCCTCTGTTTCCTAGGTTATTCCCCTGCATATTCAGGGATTCTAACATCACCTCATTGGTCAGACTGGCCCCAAAGCCTGTGTCCTGCTGAACAGTCATCCTGGTCCCTGTGTCCTTCTCAGCTGCTGTTTTCCAAGAAACATCCCCCAGAGTGACCTACATTCCTCCTCCCGAGGTAGCCAATGTATGTGGGTTTATTAAAATGTGTGTTGTACAACAGATCCATTTTTCACTGTGATCCAGATCAGCCAGCATAATTCCCTTATCTGCAATTTCCCTTACATTGATTCTGAGTGCTGTCAGCAAATATTTTCTATTTTCTTCCACATGCTGTAAAGAGTTCTCATTCTGAACAATCCCTCACCCTGAGACGCTCATCACCAAATTTACAGTGTGGTCACTGCTTGCAATTACTTTTTGAGATCCATCACCCATTTTAAGATGTGTTTACTTGTCTTGGTAAAAGCTCATGTTTGCATCACAGTATCTCATGGTATCAGATTCCTCTCTGAAATCCAAGGGCTCTGTATCAGCACAGTTACTGTCATCAGCATAATTTGTAATCAAATCAAAGGCCCATATCAGTTTTACAAGAACTATTCCCATGAAATCATGCTAACTAGCATTAATTATGCTGTTTCTTTCCTGCATACATCTTGTAGCAGTCTCACCATGACTTCGCCCAGGATCATTTTCACATTAAATGGTCTCTCATCATCCCCCTCATCCTTCTAAAATACTGCCTGCAATACTGTAAATACATCCTTCTAAAATAACCTCTCTTGCAGGGAAGTGCCACCTCTGAAACAATTCCCTGATGGACAGCAAATGGGGAGAATGAGAGATGTCATTATTTGGGACAGGCAGCAGATCTAAGGTACTTTATTTTGGACTCATGAGTGTAAAGCCTCTGCCAGGTGGGATCCTGGTCTTTCTGGGGTCTTTTTCTGAGGATTGAGGGGCAGGATGGCACCAGTTCATCCTTATTTTCAGACCTCTCATGGCACAGGAGCTGCTGAGGCTTGTGTCAAACTTTCAGAGCTCCCAGACTGTTTTAAGACAGGGAGAGAATTGAGGTCTGATGGCCACAGGTCCTCTTGGCCACCCAAGTGCTCCTCTATGCCTTTGTCTCAGGGAAAGTTGCTTCCAAAATTTAGGCACAACATGGATGAAATAAGTCTCTTACTGCAGTAAATGAGAACTTTCTTGCCCCTGTTCTAGCCCTGCAGAGATGTTTCAGCTATTCAAGAAAGAGGCATTATAATAGAACAAACTATTATTATTTTCTCACTGTCAGTGTTTGCTTCTCAACATTATCATTATTTAATCCATCCCTGTGCTGGCAATTTTCCTGTGCATTTTGGAGCATATGAACTCCTAATAATGAAAGGTCTAACTGTCCCTAGTCTTGTTAAGCGTGGTTAGACAAACTAAAACTAAAATGATTTGCTTTTCCAATAGCACGTATTCTCAATTATACTTTATCATGGTTTACAAGCTAATTCACCACCTCTGATAGCTCAGAATGACTGAATATATTTTGACTGCAGCCATGGTATAGGAAAGAAAAGGGGATATTGAGTCAGGGAAGGAAATTTGCTGGGCTGATCTACGTTAAGATCTTCACCAAGCCAGCTTCTTGCTATTATCAGAGAAAAATGAGGAGTATTTCATGTTAATTTTTCTCTATTCTACTAATGCTTTTCTGATGTTTTTGGCTCATTTCCCCACTGCTATTCAGGTTTGAATCCAATTTAGTTAAACTGATGTGAAATAATGATCAAACAATTGTCTGTCAGCTTAGAACACACTTGGGCTTGTAAATCCACCAGTAAAACTAGAGTTTTGCTTGGGCTTGTAAATCCACCAGTAAAAGCTAAGCCTTCATAAGCCAAGTCTAAACTGATTTGAGAGAATCTGTGCCCAAATCACTCTGGTAGTTAAACTCCTGCTTTTGCTAATACTGAATGCTGAAATAGTCCCATCTGTGAATGTTTAACAGAGACTCAGAGTGAGGTCATCAAATGACAGGAGTGAGAGCTTTAATTATTGTCAGTAGTGCAACCTCACTTTGAGCCTTTGCACTTTGGTTTTGTGTTATTTGGTCAATTACCTGCAAAATATTGCCTGACTGCTGGGAAGATTGTGGTGACCAAAGCGATTCAGGTTTGGGTGCCTGGATAAACAGAGCCTTTTGAATCTTTTTGCCTTAGTACCAACACAGAGGTGGCCTGCAACAATACTTGCCTCATCTTCCTCCACAAAAATAATTCTATTTAGCTAATCACAAAATCTTTGGAGCAAAGTGTTATATTGCCAAATCTGGTCATCCACAGAAGGGGAAAAGAATGGATGTGGGGTTTTCCTGCACTGCTGTATGGTGATATTTCCTGGCTCATCTCAGTTGTTGGGTTTTCCAGCCTTCAGTCTCTTGCTGTGAGAGCATTGCAATGAGAATAATTCATTGCTGGGAGATCGGTGCATGAAATACACTTTTAGTCACTGATGATTCAGACCAAAATTTCGTCTGCAGGAAAGCTTTACCCTGAATATAGATCACTGTGAAATATGTAGCATTTTCCTTGGCCTAGCAGAGAGATTTGGGATCACTGATATAATTTGACACAGAATTTTGTCACAGATTTTCTTTACCTTGCTATGCAATCAGCAAGGTTAGCAGTAAGAACACAGCTGTCACCACCTGCATGTCATGCATGGTGTGAGGAATTAAATAAAGTGCTTATCTAAACAATAATTGATTCTTGTTAGCAGGTAGGCTTAACAAATAAACAGGTATGCTGTGGGAATATAGCCACGGTGGCAAAGGAATGTAGAAAAGAAAGAGATGCATGCACAAGATGGAGCAACAAGCACAAGCTGCATGATTTTAATGTTAATCCCAACATTCCTCATTAAAACTGCAATCTGTTCAAAGGGAAAAAAATCATTCATTCATTTGCTTTCCCTATCTTTAGCATTTCTAATTTCTGCTTTAATTATTAGTGAAAACATCCTTAAGAACTTTCTAATTACTCTCATTTTAACACATGTCAAAATAGGGAGCAAACTTTGGCTTGGCTGCTCCCCTGATACACCTAATAATGGAGAGATAGCTGATAACCAGATGCTTCTTCACCCAAAAAGCTAGGTTTTTTAAGGTGTAGTGTCACAGGTTAGGCACTAGGATTAGTTTATCACTAAATCACTAAATCTACCCAAGGTTAAAAATGTCATGATGCAACCAAGACCCAGGAGGGATTTCTTTGTTGCCGTGACAAAGCACTGTCATTCATTTGCTTTGGCTGACAGAGCCAAGTACAGCAATCCCCTGTTACACTTTGATCCACACCAAGGTGAGCATTTCTAATTTTTGCTTTAATTATTAGTGAAAACATCCTTAAGAACTTTCTAATCACTCATTTTAACACATGTCAAAACAAGGAGCAAACTTTAGCTTGCCTGCTCCCCTGATACACCTTATAATGGAGAGGTAGTTGCTAACCAAATGCTTCCTCATCCAAAAAACTGCTTTTTAAGGTGTATTTTTTAAAGTGTAGTGTGACAAGTTAGGCAGCAGGATTAGTTTATCACTAAATCCTCCCAAGGATAAAGATGCAATGATACAACCAAGACCCAGGAGGGATTTCTTTGTTGCTGTTAAAGCACTGTCATTCATTTGCTTTGGCTGACAAAGACACGTGCAGCAATCCCCTGTTACACTTTGATCCACACCAAGGTGAGCATTTCCAAGTTTTGCTTTAATTATTAGTGAAAATATCCTTAAGAACTTTCTAATCATTCTCATTTTAACACGTGTCAAAACAAGGAGCAAACTTTAGCTTGGCTGCTTCCTTGATACACCTTACAATGGAGAGGTAGTTGATAGCCAGGTGCTTCTTCACCCAAAAAGCTGGTTTTTTTAAGGTATACTGTCACAAGTTAGGCACTAGGATTAGTTTATCACTAAATCACTAAATCTACCCAAGGATAAAAATGTAATGATGCAACCAAGACCCAGGAAGGATTTCTTTGTTGCCGTGACAAAGCACTGTCACTCATTGGCTTTGGCTGACAAAGCCACGTGCAGCAATCCCCTGTTACACTTTGATCCACATAAAGGTGAGCATTTCTAATTTCTGCTTTAATTATTAATGAAAACATCTTTAAGAACTTTCTAATCACTCATTTTAACACATGTCAAAACAGGGAGCAAACTTTGGCTTGCCTGCTCCCCTGATACACCTTATAATGGAGAGGTAGTTGATAACAAAATGCTTCCTCACCCAAAAATATGTTTTTTTAAGGTGTAGTATCACAAGTTAGGCAGCAGGATTAGTTAATCACTAAATCCACCCAAGGATAAAAATGCAATGATACAACCAAGACCCAGGAGGGATTTCTTTGTTGCTATGACAAAGCACTGTCATTCATTTGCTTTGGCTGACAGAACCAAGTACAGCAATCCCCTGTTATGCTGTGTTCCACACCAAGGTGAGCTCTGAGGGATGCTCTGTGTCCTCTTACCCTCATCCCCTCAAAGCGTGACAGGGCCCTCAGGGGCCGCAGGGCACGCAGGGTCCGCAGGGATTTGATGGGACCCATCTCGGAGTATCCAAGAGTGCTGGCAACCAGGCTGATTAAAGAGACCTGGGTGGAGACAAAAAAGTGAAAATTCAACCTGTTAGAACGCTCCTGACATTTTCCTGTCGCCACATTTCTCGTCACAGAGAAAATCAAGGCACAATTCTTCCCAAGAATATTTCTGTGTTTCGCATTTTCTGAACCTCAGAGAAAAGAAAAACACAATTCTTATCTCATTTGCTGTGCCCGTGTTTGTGCAAAAGTTGAATGCAATGTGGAGATTGTTTACCCACAGTGATGGTGCTTTGTTCCTTGCCTATCAGGGCCAGGTGTGTGTGTGTGAGTGTGTCAGGACTGAGGGTGACAGTCACGAGATTCTGGGCAGTGTGTGCAGAGTGGAGTGCTTGGCAGATTCAGTTTAGATGTAATGTAACATAGTGTAATATAGTATAGAATAATATAGTGTAATAAAGTAATCAATTAGCCTTCTGATAAGATGGAGTCAGATGCATCATTCTCTCCCCCACGTTGGGGGTGAAAATATCCACTATATTTTCCTTCTCTTCTGGCTTTCCTCCCTGGAAAGAAACAGCTGGTTAGTGGGACAGTGGGGAAAAAAAATCTTAAATGGGAGCCATTACATTGGATCCACACAGAGGAAAGGATGATCCTTCACAAAGTGGATGAGAAGAAGATCACCACAACAGACCCACTACTCTGTGCTGTTTTCTGTGCACTCCCTGAGGTGTGTGTAAGTTCCACTACCCAAAAATGAGTCATGTAAGCGTTACAATTGAGAGGTTTTTGGAAGAAAGCACATCTGACCCTTTCCAGCAGAGAGAAAGGATTTTGGTATTTACATTTAATCACTAGTCTTTCCTTCTAACTAAGTGATTAGAAACAAGTCTTCTACTTTGCTGGTAGACATGACTATACCACAGACCTTAAAAGAATGATGTGCATGGCTCTTCCATTCTGCTCATACTCACTTTTTCTGGTTTCTGCACAGTCCCTGAAGGAGATGGAAATTTGACAGGTGCTCAGCGTTGAGGTTCACACTTTTCAAAGACTATTTATTTGAAATGAACTTCCTGAATCTGGGAGCAGCATGGACGGGTTCCCATGCTCTTCACATTCTCAGAGCTTTTGTAATGCTCTGGTTGGTCCAAAATGTGGGTGGCATCAGGCACAGGATTGGATTCTGAATGAACTGAGTGGCAGTGGAGATTGTGAACATATGGAGCAGTAGGGTTCTGCATGCTCAAATCAGTGTTCACAGCCTGAAATCTTACTGAGCAAAGAGTGAAAACAAACAAAGCTCTCCAACACTGTAGGTATCATGCCAATTTGAATGTATTAAAAACCTCAAAATAACAAACAAAACCAGAATCAATCACCACATTATAAAACATTATCTTTTTAGAAGGATAAACCTGTGTATATTACTTATCTTCCTTTTAATTGATTTATTTTTTTCTTACTTACCATCCTCACAGCCCCAGTTATCACAGTATTGGATATCTCATACCAATGGGAGTGTGCAAAGCTCATCTGTGAGGAGTGGGTGCTGTTGCCATTGTCAAGACAGCAGCTAAGCCTAAAGCAGGGATTCCTCCACATTATAAAAAAATTGCTGCTAGGAAATTCCAGCACCTCCTTAAACACTGACAGCTCTGGAAGGAAACCTCCCTTTTCATTTTAGGATGGGGTGATTTTTACTCTGAACTCTACAGCTGGCTGACCAGCCCAGCATCACCCAGGAGGTCTGGGATAAATCAGGGCAAGACCAGCCTGGTCCCTAAATCCCATGACAGTGTCCCCTATGGAGCAGCTTTTCTCCTGAATGTGCATTTATTTACATACCAGTGCTGTCTGCACAGCTAAGCACTTTGTAAAAACTCGCTCCATTTGTTAAATTATTTACCTGCTGATGGCTTTGTTGTGTCATGTGGGGGACTAAGGGCAGGAGGCCTCAGAGAAACCAAACCTGGGCTGGGTTTGTGCCAGGGTATGTCAGCCCCCCCTCCTGCAGACGGCTGAGTGGCACAGAGGCTGGCTGCCACCCTGTCACTTGTCACTCCTTAGCAAGGTGTGACACAGACTCACCTCCTGAGTGCAGCTGGGGCAGAACAAAGGGCTCAATAAACCCTTCTGCCTTTTGGTGCTGAGCGCCCTGTGAGAACATCACGCTAGACAGGCAGGCTGGGCTCAGGGTCTGATGTCCTGGGCCTCACAGACACTGAGGAGGTAAAAATCACCAGCAGTCCTTTGGTTCCATCCCTGGGACAGCAAATCTGAACCTGTGACTTGAGCATGATGCCTCAATCATTTTAGTCTAAGCAATGGCACAGGTTTGACATGATCCTTCCACCTGGAGGAGTGATGGGATTCCAATGCTGCTCACCCAAAGCTCACAGCTGAAGAAGAAAATCTGGGTTTAATTTAAAAACCACCTTCAGCTCACCAATACATCCATTCTCTGCCTTCCCTGTTTCTCACCAGCCTGGTTTATATCCTGTACTCTGAAGCTGCATAAACACAGAGTTCAAATCCACCTTTTATTCACTCTTCCCACTAATTTAATGTTGCCTAAATAATGGTAAAGGGCTGAGGATTTGTCTAACAGCACTAAGCAAATGTGCACCATAGCTATATACTAAAGCCATTCAATTAAGTCATCTTAAAATCTACAAAATAACAGGCATGAAGGAGAATACATGACAGGAGAAGCACTGTGGCACATATTTCTGTCTTTGGTGGAAAGTTTAGTGCAGAAAACAGCCTTAACCTCACAAAGGCTTGGATTTTTCTGTCCAGAAAGGCTGAAGGTATGAGAACAGCTCAATGATTGTATGCGCAGAGACAGAAACCAATATCCATACACTCACACACCAAGTGAAGTTCACTAATATATAAAATTGATCCATAAAATGGATGTAGATATTTAAATGAAAATTAATCAAATACAGGGTACCCAACACCCTTCTTTGCTAGTTTCACCCATGATGACTGAAAATCAAATCTTATCAGGGTTTTCAAACTGCTTTGGTTGGAGCATCTGCACAATTCCTCCTTCATCCCGGATTTGTGTCCCATAGATGCCCTTTCTGCCAAGGCAGAAGTTTTTTGGTTCAAATCCTTCATCAAATCCTTTGGATCTGAGTGGGTTCTCATTTCCTTTGGAGTGACTCTGAGAGGGTTCCCATTTTCTTTTGAGAGCCACCAATGTCACCCTGAAACACATCACAGGTGGTGCTGCCCTCCTGACACAGATTTACACAGCATTAGATATCCCTGCAGAGGATTAGGTCATGAAGCTGTGTGATATTTGGCAATGATTTACAAGGCTGGAGTCAGAACAGAGTTGGAGACAACTTGTTTAAATGCTTGGATGTTGGTTTTGAAGGTATCCCTGTCAAACTTTATTTATAGGAGAATTACCAACGCAGGGACTTGGCCATTTGGGCTTGATTAAAAGTGACCCAGAAGGTTATTTTTAGGAAAAAAATCAAGCAGTTTTCAAAATTGGTGCTGACTGCCCCACATAATCACAACAAAAGGTGAAGTCAGCTATTTCTGTTATTTTTTTTTTTTTTTTACTGTTGCAAGGCTACGCAGCCCACAGCTGCTCTAAAGTTCTGCTTTGTGCTATGCTCAGAATCAAAAATGTGCTGGCACCCAGAAAACACCTCTAGGGTCAGTGTAACCTCCACATACAGAATAAGTCACACACACATTTCTAAGCTTTTCAGTATCTGTTTGCAAAGGGTTTTGTAGGTTTTTTGTGAAATCCTACCCCTGAAGCAGCACTGTAATGTGGTGGAGACAAAGTGAATCCTAAGGATTCACTATTGCTTGGAACCATTTCCCATAAAACACCCAATTTGCTGTTGACCTTGAGCTTTCACCTCAGCTTCACCTTTTCCACAGCAGGTTATAGGCAAGCTGTGGCATCCCTCATCCTCCTCCTGTGCACTTCTTCTGAGCCAAGCAGATTTATCACAGCTCCCATTTCCCTCCAGCATTTCCCCTGGAGGTGTTTGCAGAGCTTGCTATATCTTACTAAAGCTTTCATAGCTTTCCATTTAACTTAATCAGGGAATGGTTTCCCTGTGTTGGGTCTAGACTGTTCCTGATCCCCTTGACTTGCTGCTCATTTGGTGTCCCTGAAGTCTCCAGCAGAATATTTGAGCTGTCACTGGAATTTTCTGCCTAACCTGAAGTCCAGTGCATGGCCAGGCCAGCACTGAGGGTCCCTGAGGGGGAGAGAGGTGCTCATAAATCAGAGTGTGCAATCCTGCCTCCCCAGACCTCAGCCTGTGGCACACAGCTCTCACTAACCCCATGGACTAGGATGCCATTCGATTCATTTCCTACATTAGCTTTTCCCTTCTGCATTCCCTGGATCATCTCAGCACAGCCAAGAGCCCAGCCTCAGTGCTGTCAGACACTTCCCAAAGTTTATTCCAGCCCAAAAGAGTGGAAACCCTGCAAGAGTCAGCATTTACTGCCCAGCTCAATGGCAGAGTTTCCCAGCAAAGCTCAGGCTCCTGGCAAAGCCTTGTGGATCCTACCTAAACAATTCATATTCTTGCTATCACAGACAGCCAGAGAGGGTGGAGCTGTCTCTGATCCTGGAATTCAGGAAAGACTTTTGCCCCTGTTCCCAACTTTCTTTGCCCAGAGATAGTTTTATCTTTGTATCTATAAGAATATTGTGTCAATAAATGTCGCAGACATCTATTATGAAAAATCCTTTCCTTAGGATTTTTCCTCCTGAGAAGCTGAAAGGCCTCAGGAACAAAATGTAAACATTGATTATCTGCTGCTGTGGAATGCAACAGGTGCATCTGGGATTGGCCCATGTTGGATGTTTCTAATTAATGGCCAATCACAGCCCAGCTGGCTCAGACAGACAGCCGAGCCACAAACCTTTGTTGTCATTCTTTGCTATTCTATTCTTAGCCAGCCTTCTGAGGAAATCTTTTCTTCTATTCTTTTAGTATAGTTTTAATGTAATATATATAATAATATAATAAATCAAGCCTTCTGAAACATGGAGTCAG